AAAAAAAAAAAAAAAAAAGAAAAAGAAAGAAAGAAAGAAAGAAAGAAAGAAAGAAAGAAAGAAAGAAAGAAAAAGAAAAGTCATGATAGAACGTGCATGGAGGTGGTGGACACTCTCCATAGGACTGGGTCAGTCATCTCCTTCCTGTCTTCCAACCTGCCAGGATCTTGGGTCCCGTGCACATACCCTACCTTTACTCAGCAAGACCAGGCCAAGCCGGTTGGCATGGGGCTTCCAGCTCTGCAGTTCTGTAACCTGCCAACTGGCCATGGAGGCTGAGTCCTTCCAACTTTGTATTTTGGGGTCAAGAAGCCACACAAACCCCTAGGGCTTGCAAGGCGAGGGAGGGGCAGAAACGCTCCCTGCCCTGGCCTCATGCTCTCACTCTACAAATTCGTGGTGTGGCAACAGGTGAGAACCAGGAGCCCAGTCAGGCTGAGTTCAAATCCCAGCTCCACCTCACACCAGTGAGCAGGCTGGTCCACAGGGAAGGCTTCTCATGTTTATTAACCGATAGCACCCCACCAGCTAAATCCAGAAGTCATCCTGTAGGACAGAAAATCTGATCAGCTTCAGAGAAAAATTTCACATCCTTCTACCTCCCGTCCCCAAAGAAATTAAGGCTGCACGCAGCCATTAGAAGGGGGAGCTGCCACACTTGTCTGCGAAGGCTGCTGGGCCACGCCAGGAGAGGCCGCGTAAGGCGACGGATGTCCCTTCCTATCTCTGACACACCCGGCTCCTCCAGGCTGCCCTGGGTCTGCCCTGTTTACGTTGCCCTCGTCCCATTCCATCTACACGGTCCTTGCTGCTCGTGCCACCATACCAACCACAGGGTCCATACTCTCAGCTGCCGGGTTCACACCGCCCACGACCAATCTTATCCACAGGGTCCAGGCCGCCAGCGTCCTGTCGACGCTGTCCGCTGCCGTATCAACACTGACTACGCCCTGTGCACTCTGCTCGCTGCCCTTTTCCACGCCACCTGTGCCCACGTTCCATTCACACTGTCCACGCCACCCGCGCCCGGTCCACACCGCCCGAAACCTTCGAACTACAACTCCCACAATGCTCCGCCGCCGCCCCCCCGCTTCCGGTGCTGCGCAGTTTCCGGAGCGGATCGCAACCCGGAGTCCGGATCCGATCCCGCTCTGCACATTCCAAAGACAGGTAAAGCCCCGGGCCCCGCGCCCAGCGCCCGCCCT